CATCACACGCATACACACTATAGAGAGAGAAGCATAAAGCTCGGGTGAACTCATACTTGCGCACACAAACGCCTCTGACATTCAGGAACGAGAGCCGATACTCTGTGTTAACCTCATCTTCGTCAATGTCTCGGCTAAGAAAACTGTCGACAGGATGATTGAAAATCAGTTTTCCTGAGCTAAAGCTTAAACCCCAATACACAGATCAAGATTTGATTTCCTCTCAGCTTTTCCATTAAACTCAATTTGCATGTCTGAAAGATGTTTTTGTGAGTGTGTTTGTATTAAGTTTTAGCTGGTCTCTTCTCTGAAGCACAATGGTCAGTGTGTGTGTGTGTGTGAGAGAGAATCAAACACCCCAAGGGCTCTGGAGCCATTACACACGACACGGCTCCTTTGATTGGTTGCATTCAGCTGCCAAAAAAGGGAAATTGAGTTGTCGCCGCTAGCGCACAGGTAGCAATCACACTCTCTGGCGTTCAGTGCCGCGTCCCTATTGAACGGCTGGATATTAAATCCCCACAGACACACACACACGTGCACACGCCAGTATTGTCCATTTATTCCTAGCCCAGCATCACTACGATCCTCCTGCTGGATTCAATAAACCGTGGATTCAAAAAGACATGGAGAACAGGCCATTTTATGACAATACAGTGCAATCTCAAACCAGCTAAACTCCAGCAACAACTAAAAAAAATTGTGATATTTAGTGATTAATTGTTTAAAAAAAGAGTATTTTTTTTAAAGTTATTAAAAAAAATTAATTAGTTTTTTTTAATATACTGATATATATATATATATATATATATATATATATATATCAATTAAAAAAATAACTAGATAAATCACACATTTTCATTTTTTCTGTGATTAATCTCGATTAATTGCAAGAAAAAACACTTACGTTTTTATAATTTTTTAATATATTTTATAAATGTAAAAATATGTAAGTTAAAGGTAGGGTAGGTCGTTTTTGGTGTAAAAAACTTTTTCCCAAATTTGTTTAAACTTTCTATATATATCAATGCATAATTAAAATGTAAGTACTCTGATAAAAAGAGTATAAAAATCGAGTGACTCTAGACCGTTTAATCTGCACTAAACACAGCTAATTATTTCCTTCCGGGACGAAACAAAGGATTGGCTTAGGCGACTGTCACTCTCTCGCAACCATGGCAACACCCCCGCTGCTACATGCGCTGCCCACATGCGCGCACTCGTTTGACTCGAGGAAGGTAAGAGACTAGTAAGAGACACAATTACATGCAAAACACGGCGTATATGTTATGAATCTTACACGAAATTCACCTTCATCACAGTGTAACTGATTGTAATGGGAAAACGTGTATCAATGCAACCTGTTTTTAGCTTTGCTTTATGTTACTAGCTCGTTAACGAATCAAACTCAATATATTTTAAACTTTACCAGTATCGATATGCTAGCTTGATAGTGAGTACTAACAGCCATGTTAGTTGTTTATATTCATAATGATAAAGTTAGGTATTTTATTACATGCACTGCTCCTCTCCGCTTGGCGCTGGTAAGCGCGTCCTCCAGCTGTGAGCTGTCGGCATCGCGCGTTCATGTGTTTTGGGGGCGTGGTTTTGGAAGGAGCCCAGAATGGAGGGGGTGGAAGTGAATGGAGATAAGTAGCTGTGTTTATTACAGCCCTGAGAGGACTACAGACACTCGATTTTTATACTCTCTTTTCCAGAGTACTTACATTTTAATTATGCATTGATATATATAGATAGTTTAAACAAATTTGGCAAAAAGTTTTTTAAAAAAATCCTACCTACAATACCTTTAATCTCCAGATTAATGTAAAAACAACATAAATACTGTAAATTTTAAATACTTTTTTAATGGCATCTTTTAATGAATGAAGGCCAGTGTCACTTCTACTAATACAGATACTGATGTCTCAATCAAAAAAAATTGAATATAGCTATAGTATAGTTATAGCTAAAGGATGACTGAAAAACTGGACAAAAATTAATCGCATTCATATTAACGTTGACAGCACTAATATATAATATATTTTTATATATATATATATATATATATATATATATATATATATATATATATATATATATATATATATATATATATATATCCTCTGAATGTCAGTACTACATTAAACTACAGTATATAATGTTTAATATAATGTATAATAATGCAATGGGGGAATATTTATGGGTCCTGATAATGCCAAATGTCAGATGTTACCAGTAAAAGTGTCCGACATTATTTTAAATATATCTAGTCAGTGACAGAGATCATCATATTCATCTACAATAATTCAGTATTTTCATCTTCAGAATCATGAATATTGTTATTCTGGTGTCTCTATTGTCCTGTATTGGGTTTCAGCACCAAGTCCATCCTATTCATTTAAACACACAATGTAATATCAAATTTAGCATTTTAATCAACAGCACATTTTTTGTTAACCTTTAATCATGTCTTGGAATATCGCAATGATTATCAGTATCGTGATATGTATCGAATGGTGACATGAGGGAATCGCTACACCGCTAGTATATATATATCTGCTGTGTGAATGTACAGTAGTTGTTTGGATTGAAACAGCTCTTCAGTTCTAGAGGAGCCAGAGGCTCCCGACTCCCGAATGTCGTCATCACAGGAAACAGCCAAACAGAGCAAAACATGATAAAATGAGCAGAGAGACGCTGAACTCTACAGAGCGAGAGAAGCACAGATGAGACGCGGAGAAACACAACAGCTGAAAGCGACCTCCTGAAGCGCTTCGTAACTGCAGAGGACGAGCCGCATCTCTCATGTTCAACATCTCTCTGCCTCGAGTCCCACGAGTGACTGTGTGAAAGAAGTGTGTCAGACAGAAGATCTCAGCATCAAAACCTGGAGTGCTAATGATGTCCGTGTCCCGGACGCCCGACGCAAACAAACGCGTCCTACGCCGGCTTTACGGCTTCTCTTAGCGGAGTTAACAAGCCTGAGGAATCCCACTCTCATTACAGGAGGAAAGTGCGGGACACTGTAAAGTCTGAATTATTCATTTGCGTGATGTTCTCCACTTTAAGCCTCGCCCGCCTGAGGAACGAGAGACGCTGTGTGAGGCGTAGGGCTGCATGATATATCACAATAAAATCGATATTGCAATATTGGTGCGATTGTCAAATTGCAGATTCTGTGATTTAGTAAAGTAAATATACAGTATACACTCCCGGTTACAGACTGCATGCGTGTGAATGAACATACAGCTTCATTCTGAAACCGCCAGCACATGTTTTATTTCTTGCAACCTGACAAAAAAGTTTGTTGGTTTACTGTTTGAAAATGAAGAAATTAAGATATAGAATAAGTTTATTGGTATTGTAATTTCATAAAAAATTGTAATTAATTTTATGACTTGATTTTTTATTTATTTGACAGTACAATAGTATTACTACAATACATTTCTTATTTTGTTTAATATTTTATTTAATAATAATCACAATAAAATTATATATATGAAATTATAACAATACAAATACATTTATTTTTATGAATAGATTTTTTATTTTACAGTACAATAGTATTACTGCTATATATTTCTTATTTTGTTTATTATTTTATTTAATAATAATCGCAATAAAATAATATATATAAAATGATAATAATAAAAATAAATGTATTTTTATAATTAGATTTTTATTATATTTTTTACAGTACAATAGTATTATTACAATATATTTCTTATTTAGTTTAATATTTTATTTAATGATAATCACAATAAAACAATATATATAAAATGATAATAATAAAATAAATGTATTTTTATGACTTGATTTTTTTATTTTACAGTACAATAGTATTACTACAATTTATTTATTATTTTTAAAAATATTTTATTTAATAATAATCACAATAAAACAATATATATAAAATGATAATAATAAAAATAAATGTGTTTTTATGACTTGATTTTTTTATTTTAAAGTACAATAGTATTATTACAATATATTTCCTATTTTGTTTTAATAATAATAATAATCATAATTATTATTATTTTATAGGTATATCGGATTGGCCAAAAACAATGTTAATGTGGCCTATGAAAACTCAAATGGAAAGAGATTCGTTTTTAAACTCTCACTTTATGGAAACTGAAATATGTTTGAGTTGATTCTTGGAAAGCCAAAAGCAAAACAAAAAAAGTGTTTCCCAAATCATTTAGGATTTTGCACTCAAAAAATGTCTTCAGAATGAAAATAATATTTCTGCCTTTTATTTAAAGTAAATTCAAAAATATAATCCCCCATCTTCTCAAACCCCTGATGTGGAGACAACTGAATGGATTCAAATAAGTATTATGATTGGGAGACAAATTATTATGAGAAACTGGCGGTCACGAGGATCGCCATCTTTCCAAGAATGGGTAACAGAACTGGGCAATGTTTGTGCATCTGAAGGAACGGCATACAGATCACTGGGGGGAAATGAGGTTTATAAGAGAAAGTGGGGCAGATCCCTGACATTCACTGAGGGTACTGGAGGATGACCTGGGGGGGGGGGGGGGGGGGGGGGGGGACGCAATATAAGAGGTTGAATATAACTTTAATTATATTATATTTGGTGAATAGTTACTTTAATTATTGAATTAATCTTTTTTTGCACTTTAAAAAAAATATATAATTTTTTTGTTTTTTTGCAGATGTATTCTAGCAATCTTTGGGCAATTGTAACTGACACGTGTTGGATGGGTGGGGGTCTGATGTAACACCTATGTTTGGAGAATGAATGTACGGTTTTGTTGATGTGAAGGAGAAAATAAAAACTGTGAATCATTAAAAAAACAAAACATCCCCCTCACTCTAGAATGATTCATTCTTTCCAAAAAATAGCTATTCAAGTCATCTGGTGACATTTCCTGGATTTTTTCAAACCACAATATCAGTTTTGCAATGCGAAAGCTTATTCATATTTGTGTGCTTTTCTCTGTGGATTAGCCAGCCCTCCCAGTCCCCGG